TAGGCCCTGGACGGCGGGACAGCCGTAAACCCAGAGACACCTGCCTGAGCCCCAGGCATGCAGCAGCCCCTCCCACCACCCAGGGGGGCTCCGGCCTAGAGAGCTGGAGGGTCTCAGTATCCCCTCCTCAATGTCAGAAGCCACCTTCCTCCTACCCCCTTTCCGCAGACCCTAGAAGTACTGCTGAGAGAGCAGGGGTGAAGGCAAAGGGCAAGCCCTCAGGAAAGCCCCTCACCTCGGGGCTTCAGTCACCATATCTGCACATTGGCCCCACTCTGGCCACTGAGGCGGGAGGGCATCGAGGCCACAGAGGGCAGAGGTCGGAGGCTGGGCCCACCTGACCAAAGGGGAGCCTCTGGGAGACCCAGCGTGGGAGAGGACGCTGAGTGGACCCCAGCCCATGGGTCCCGGCTAGGGGAGGGTAAGCAGGCACAGCTACCCCCCTCCCCCTGGGGCTGGTGGACATCCCGCATGCAGGCTCCCTCTAATCCCACCCCAGCAAAGTCACCCAAGGGAGGGACAGCAGGACAGCACAGCCCGGCCTGGAGGGCTGTGTACCCTGGCCAGGGGAGCGGGCTAAGGCGGAAGCACTGATAGGTTATGTCGGGAGAGCGCTCTGGGGAGGGGGCTGCACCTCTCAGCTCTGGCAGCCTCACCTGGGGCCCTCGCCCAAGAGCTCAAGAGCTCGGCCGGAGAGACTCTGGTTTGCTTCTGAGTGCGGCCATGAGGGCCAGGGAGGGGGCCGCCGGCGGGGCAGCCTCGGTTGGCCATGGAGGCCAGGATGGGGGACGCGTGAGCCCCCACTCTGTCGGGCACCTGTCGGGTGGTGGGGGTCCATCCTGGTGGACGTGTAGCCTGGCTAGGTGGGGACCAGAGCCCCGGGGACCACCCCCAAACACCTCAGGAGGGCTCTCTCCATCCCCCCACTTCCTCTTCTGCCCACACCCCCCCCCAGGGCTCCAGGACCCCACGCCCAAATCAGGGGACCCTGATTTCTCCCTCTAAGGCTCTGCCTGCTGTCTGCCCATTCTGTAAGCAGCACCTGACACTTCTTCTCTCCCGAGGCTGGGAGGGGGTCAGGAGCTGGGGGACAGGGAGAAGCCGGAAAATGAACCCCTTTCCCAAGGCTGTATGCTCCAGGGTGAGGGGGTGTGCAGAGTAGGAGCTCAAGGAAGAAGAGGGGGGCTTGATGCAAGCGAGGTCAGCGAAAGGCCAGGGACTCAGGCCGGGGACTGAGGAGGGGGCCCCTCGCAGCCACGGCTGGGCAGCCAGGGCCCTGTGTGTCTTGGCGAGGCAGGACCCCTGGGCGGCCAGGTATGTAACAATTCCAGCCATTTCCTGCCCTATTAATGAGAAAGGGGCTGATATAAATATACGCTCAGCATAAATAAATACAGGCCAGGCCCGGGACTGCATAGCAGACAGATTGCGTGGAGCTGCTGGCCGGCCCTTCAGCCAGTTCCCCCCACCCTGCCCACAGTCCCCCCGCCTCACTGCCCCCCACTTGTTTTCCTCAGGCAAACCAGGGCCCCTCCACATACACACACACACACACACACACACACACACACACACACACAGGCCTGAGGCAGATGGACTGACCACCCTTGCCCTCGGCCTCAGAATGGAGATCCTGCAGCCCCCGGGAAGGCGACAGAGGGAGCTGGGGTACCTGGTCTCTCCTGCCTCCTGCACAGACCCGATGACTGTCCTGTGAGGGCTGACATGTTGCGATCATGCAGGTGGGGATCATGCAGCTGTTCAGGTGGGGAAACTGAGGCTCACAGGGTTCAGGGACTCGCCTAAGGCCACGTGGCCAGGCTGTTGTGTCTCAAGGATTTGAACCCCTGAGGCTTTCTGACTCCAAGGCCTCTGATCCGCCCACTTTGTGCCAGGAGCAGCCGGGGGGGGGTTCTTGCCCCCCCCCCCGACTGCCTTCCTCCCAAACCCCAGCCCCTGGATGTCAGGGCCTTGGAAGGCCCTGGAAGACTTGCGGTCAAGGCCTAGAAGTATAGCTCCACAGAGCCAGACCCCAGCTCAAATAGGATGCACACGCAGGACCAGCTCACCCTGCTTGAGACCACCTCCCAGCGGGGCGCCAAGGTCGGCGAGGCCCCCTCGAGTGCTGACTATCTCATGGGGGATCATCTGCTCACAGACATGGAAACTGAGGCCCAGAAGAGGCAGCACTTCATCTAAGGTCCCAGAAAGAAGCAGGACAGACCTATGGAACCTTCTCCTCGGGCCCCGGGCTCAGGGTGGGAAGGCCATCCCCTCTCATAAGCCTCTCCCTGCTCAGAGCTGCCTCAGCTCCCCAGCCTGACGTCTAGCCAGGAGCCCTTCACTAGGCACAGATCAGCAACAGTAGGTAAGAAAACCCAGGTCCAGAGACGTTAGGAGCCTGACAGTGCTGATCTGGGGCCAGCGCCCAGGGCCTGTGACGCATTCCTCTCTTGGAAACCCAGTTCGAATGCCCCCTCTTTCAGGAAGCCTTCCCAGCCATGCCAGCCCAAAGGATGGGCTCCCAGTATGCCTTCATCCACTCTACCTTCTAGGCCTTGAGGTACTTAGTGGGCACATAGCCCAGGCAGCCGCCCTGGAGGCCCCCTGCAGAGCCCCTATGTGGAAAGCAGACTTCGGGCCTTTGACAGCCACACCCCGTTCCCACCAGCAGCCAAGGATGTGGGGGCCGGCTGTTTGTAGGGGACAAGTTGAGCAGGTGGGCACGCTCAGGGCAGTCCCGGCTGGTCTTCTGGCCCCACGCTGCACCCCAGGTCCAAGGCCAGGCGAGGCCCTCTCCCTCTGCCAGCCTTGGCTGGTGGCCTCTGCAGCCCCGGTCCCTTGGGCCCCAGAGATGTCAGCCCCAAGGCCTGGGGGATGTGGCAGGTGGAGAGTCAGAGAGGAGCTCTCCAGGACAGGGGCCACCTCCCACCCTGCACCCCTCGCTGCTTCCGCCAGAGACCCCCCTCCAGATGCATCGCCTGAGCACGTGTGCAGGTGTGCGCGGATGCCACGACTCGTGGCCTGAAAGGAGCCCCGTTTCTCTCAAGTTTTGAACCAGAGAGGAAGGAAACATTTTTACCTTGACACGTCTGTATTGTGGGTGATTTTTTAAAAGTTTAGTAGAAGGAGGGGCGCCTGGGTGGCTCAGTCAGTTGAGCGTCTGACTTTGGCTCAGGTCATGATCTCACGGTGCATGGGTTTGATTCCCACATCGGGCTCTGTGCTGACAGCTCAGAGCCTGGAGCCTGTCTTCGGATTCTGTGTCTCCCTCTCTCTCTGACCCCTTTCCCACTTGCATTCTCTCTCTCTCTCTCAAAAATAAATAAACGTAAAATAATTTTTTTAATTTAGTAAAAGGAAAAATACTAATATCATGTATGCAGTCTGGCCAGTAGCCCCACTGGCCAAGGCTGTACAGGCTCCTGCTGGTCCCGGCCTCCAGCCCATCGCCCAGCCCCCTCCTGGCTCCCATCCCTTCCCCCTCCCTGCCCCCACCATGTCCAGGCCTGCCACCCTTTCTGTCCCCTTTTGGCCCTTGAGGCCCCAATCCACCTGTCCCTCCCTTGCACCCCAGGCCCTGCAGGCCACCGTCTTGTCAAGTGGCATCTTGGTCCCTGGCAGCTCCAGATGCCTGCCCTGGGGCCTCCTTCCCGCTGCCCATGTCCCTAGCCTCAGCGGTGAGCCACCTTCACACTCTTCAGCGCCTAGCTCTCCCTGCAAGTTGTGTGTTCTGGAATCCCAGTCACATTTACTCCAGCATCAAGGCCTCAAGGGCCCTTCCCAGCAGATGTTCTGCCTTGTTGGCCAGATGGGAGCCCTTCAGATGTCTCCCTCCGGGGGCAGGCCGGGCCTGCTCTTCAGACTCGGGGAAAGGGCCCAGAAGTTCACTCCACACCTACTCTGGGCCATCTGCAGGTCCATATTGGAGACGGGGCAGGAATCTGGCCCTAATTTCCCTGGGAACCAAAGCATAGAAGGCAACCACAGGGCAAACTCTCTGGAAGGCCTCCCCACCCTCACACCACCCTTGGGCTTGGGAGTGAGTGGAGGGTGATCACTAGCTCGCACGAAACCATCCTTTCCCCTCCTCTCACAGAATCACTGGCTTAAGGACAGGGCAGGGGTCTGACCCACTATAGCCTGAGCTTGCCTAGCTCAGGTTGGCTGAGATTTTGGGTGTTTCCCTCTCCCTGGAGGAGATGAATAGATGGATCTGTGGATGGGTTTGTGGACAAGTGCTGGATGGATAGTAGGTAGTGGGTAGGTAAATCGGAAAAGGAATGAATGAATGAAGGGGTGGTGGACGGATGCATGGATGCATGGATGGGCAGGTAGATGGATGGGCAGATAGATGGGTGGATGGATGGATGGATGCATGGATGGATGGGTCGATGGATGGATGGATGGATGTGCAGATGGATGGATGGATGCCTGCATGCATGATGGATGGATGGGTGCATGGATGGGCAGATGAGTGGGAAAGTGAGTGGCTAAGAGTGTAAATGAATGGATGGGCTAGTTGCAGACCAGCTCAGGAGGAACTGCATCTCAAAAGGAATTTTCTAAATCTCTGAAATGTGAGGCCTTGGCACCCCCCAGAGGCCAGAGTCTCTAATGACTCATGTCCTTTAAAGCCCTGAGAATCAGGGACATGGCCCTAGAGAAGGTGAGGGGTTCTGGGAAACAAAAAATTCTAGGGTCCACTGCTGGTTCTTGCCCTGTCCTACTCAGGGACCTTGGGAATGGTCAACCCTTCTGAGGCTCAATTTCTTCATCTGGAAGATTGAGCTAATCAAACCTGATGCCTGTAATGCTATGAGATTTAAACAAAATCATGTATATAAAGTGTCTGAGAGGGTCATGTGGCACATATCAGGTGCCCACCAAATGTGATTTGCTTCCAAGGGACAGCTCTAGGGCACACACACACACACACACGAACGCACGTATGCACATACTCCCCAGGAAGGAAGGACACAGAGAGAGACCCCAGGCCATACCAGATCCAGAAAGGTAGATGGGGACACACTTATTCTCCAGGGGTTCCATGCTCTGACAGGGCTGGCCCAGCCTCAGGGCCCAGGCGTTCAGGGAGTGGGGACTCAGACATGGGCCCTGGGCACTCCTGGGGCTCAGTTTCCTGGGCCTGGGCCAGCTGGGCTGTGTGCTCAAAGGCAGCCTGCAGCAGGTGGGAGGCAAGGCAAGTGGTCCAGGTGATGAGATAGGCCAGGTGCCAGGAGGCGAGCGTGGCTGTGTTCTCCACCCGCCAGTACAGACCCTTCAGCAGCGCCAGGAGCTCCGGCACCACACGGTTGTCCAGCAGAGCCTGGAGGCAATAAGTGGATAGGCAGTGGGGAGGAGGGGCCGCTGGGAGCTCACAGGGTGGCACTGCCTCGCTGCCACGCCCCGGGCCCCAGGCCCGCCCTCAGCAGCCCACCTTGCAGAGCAGTGAGCCCAGGCTGAAGCGCTGGGCCCCCACGCACAGCCTCCTGGTCACCAGCAGCAGCAGCAAGACTGCCAGCGTCAGGCTGTGCAGACAGGACAGCAGCAGCTCCGTGCAGGTGGCTGCAGACACGACTAGCCGCTTGCGGGCCAGGCCCACGGCCCGGGCACAGCGCAGCATGCCGGCCCACGCCAGCCGGGGCGCCTGCAGCCCCAGCCGCACCGGGACTTCTACCAGTGCCAGCCCGGCCCGCAGCACCTGGCCCGCGGGGTGAGCTGCAAGCCCAGGGGGTGGGGAACCCTGGGGGCCGCGGGACCCCCAAGCCTCCTGGCCCAGCCCCGCCAGCCAGCGGTTGAAGAGGGCCATCTTGAGGAGCAGGAAGTTGTAGAGGTGGGCCCGGTTCTGGACCAGCTGCGGGAGCAGGGAGAGTCAGACCATCGTCACCCACCTGGGGGAGGGGCCCTACCCACCCTGGGTTTTCCTGTAGGGGGCAGAGCTGCCTGGCCACCATGGGCCGGGGCTCCTTCCCTCGAGGCCTCAGTTTCTCCAGCAAGGACTCCATTCTCAGGAGGGGGCCTTTAGAAGGTGTCTCATATTATCTTTGGTTTTCTTTGCCTTGGATTTCAGGAATTATTTATAATTCTCTAGACTGAAGGAAGCTGATTTATTATTATTATTATTATATAAGGAGTGACCATCCCCCTCATCCTTCTGATCCTGTAGGATTTGAACCCTGGGCAGTTTTTCTTCCAAGCGCCTGGGCTTTCCTGCTCACCAGTTGCCTGTTGAGGGCAGCTGGGGAGCAAAGGGCAGAGCCATGGGGTAGAGGGACGTAAGGCATAGGGGCAGTGGGAGTCACTGTCACGGAGAGGGGTGAAGGAGAGGGAGGACCCCGAAAAGATCTCCGGGCTTTGGTCCTGGGTGACAGAGCAGATATTATGTCTCACGTCCCCTGGGAGAAAAGAGCGAGCTTGGGTGGGGAGAGGGTCTGTGAGCAAGAAAGCTCTACCTGAGTCCTGGGGCTGATGATTCCCTCACCAGAGTCCTAAAGCCTGCAACCCTGAGTAATGCCAACCCCCCCCCATCTGGACCTCACGTGCAGCTGTCCAGAGGACCCCGTGGAGTCCGAGCGGAGGGAGCAGGAGACAGCCACCTGGGAGTGGCCGTGTGCCCCACCGTGGGCACTGTGGCTTGGGGCTGCGGCTCCTTAGAGCTGTCAGATTAATCCAGGCAGGCGGCAGTCACCAGGTTCTACAGGTTGGGCCAGGCCCCCGGGCTCCAACAGCCCTGAGGTGGCTGCGGATGGCTGGGTGGCCCCCACCCCAGTGCCGCCCCCCCCCCACATTCCTCACTCACCAGCACCAAAAGCTTCACCACCAGCAGCAGAATCCCCAAGAGGCTGGATCTAACTGGAGGAACGGCCTCCATGTCTAGCCCTCCTCCCCTTCCTCCAGCTGGAAGAGGGAGGATGACCTCACAGACGCTGCAGGGTGGGGACCAAGTTACCATGGGGACGGGCTGCCACAAGAGACCCCCTTTTACCTGCCTCCCGCCTCCCGGGCACAAAAACCAGGGTACTTCTCTTCTATGTCCGGTCCCCTGCCTGGTTGGAGACAGCCCCTAGCGACATCAGCTCAGTGTCTGGCCTGCCCACGTGGGCGCCAGAGAAGGTCCTCGGATGGACGGCCCTGGGCCTGCAGGGGGCAGTGGAGGCTGAGGGTAGGGGCTGTGCCTTCCCACATCCCTGCAAATCCCAAAGTAGCAGAAGCCTGGGAAATAGAAATCTCGATTCCCCAAGGCCACAGGCGACAGGGTATTTGGAGGCAGATGGAAAAGCCCCTCCCCCCAGCCCCCGCCCCCACCCTGGTCACAAAGCAGAGAAATGAGGTTGTGACTTTTCATCTCCTATCTCAGAACCACGTGCTGACCTAAAGGCCCCAGAGTTCAGGAGAGAGGCAGGGGCTGCAGGAAAGGGGACCATTTGCTGAGCTGGCCCGCCCAGGGCAACCAGGAGGTCATAGGCTGCCTGGGGCATCCCTCGAAGTTTGCAGGAGGCTGGGATTAGGATCCAAGGTTTAGAATTCTGGGAGAACCCAGGGGCGCCTGGGTGGCTTAGTCGGTTAAGCGTCCGACTTTCGCTTAGGTCATGATCTCGTGGGTTCGAGCCCCACGTCGGGCTCTGTGCTGACAGCCAGCTCAGAGCCTGGAGCCTGTTTCAGAGTCTGTGACTCCCTCTCTCTCTGACCCTCCCCTGCTCACGCTGTCTCTCTCTCTCCCTCCTAGAAATAAATAAAACATTAAAAAACAATTTTTAAAAAGAATTCTGGGAGAACCCAGAACCTTGATCACAGCATTCCTCACATTGCTTTTCTGCCTGGGTCCCAGCAGGTGGCCCCAGGAGGCGCTGACGCCCTTTGGAAATGTTTTAACAGCTCTCCCTCTGCTGGACAGGCCACTGTGGTGCAGGGCTCGGTGACTCAGCCCCTCTGTGCCCATCAGATTTTAGTACTCACTGGCCACTTGCTAGGCACCCTTGTGCAGGATACAACCTGCCCCACTGGACATGGAAACCTGCCATGATGAGTCCCTGGAACAGAAAGGATGACCTCTGCCCAGGACAGTCCTGGTCACCCATTCGTTTCCTCTCCTGGAACAACAGCTGAGGTCTGGAGGTTGCAGCGTGCAAAGTCCCTTTGCTCTGTCGCCCGCCGGGCCTCTCCCCCTCCCGCCCTCTGTGGCCGAAACCTTACGGCACTGAGGGGTCAGTAGGGCTTCAGGAAGACCTCCCTGGGCTAAGTTTTGAAGGATGGATAGGAACTTCTCAGAGAAAGTGTGAAGGGTGGTCCAGACAGAGGGAACAGCATGATTCCAACAATTCCGTCTTATTAGCGCATAAAGCAGGAGGCAGGGAAGAGCACAAGGCAAGCGGTGAGATTGGCAAGAGCCACATGGGCCACAGAATATTCTTTGTTACACAGTGAGTGCTATCAAAGAGCCAAGACAGCAAGGAGCTTGCCGTGGGCTCCGCAACAGTCCCTCCAGCTCGTGAGGAGGTGAGACTGAGGAGAAGGCGTCTGGGGCCGGGGGAGATGAGACAGGAATCCGCAGCAATAAACCCTGGGAATGGAGGGAAGTGGGCAGATGCCAGAAACGTGTAGAACATGGAGCGACAGGGATGGAGGCTGTCACGTACGCGGAGAGCTCCGAGAGGCTCCCCTGCTCTCACGCTGACCAGCCAGCCGGCCGGAGCTGCTTGGCTCTTGCCGGCAGGAAACAGAAGATTCCCGGGTCAGAGAGGAGGGACGAGCCACTACTCACAGCACCAGCTGCTATGAGTTCAGCATTGGTTCCTTGAGTCCCAAACCCCACACGGTGACAGGAACAGGGCCACAGGACACCTTTACCCCTTGCGGGTGTATTCCAAGAGAGTAAGCCTGAGCTTACAGACCCCAGATCTTTTGAAAAATTTTTTTAATGTTTTATTTATTTCTAGGAGAGAGAGAGAGAGAGAAAGCGTGAGCAGGGGAGGGTCAGAGAGAGAGGGAGTCACAGACTGAAACAGGCTCCAGGCTCTGAGCTGGCAGTCAGCACAGAGCCCGACGCAGGGCTCGAACCCAAGAACCGCGAGATCATGACCTGAGCGAAAGTCGGACACTTAACCGACTAAGCCACCCAGGAGCCCCAGACCCCAGATCTTTTGTAAAAAGCCTGCCCTTGTGTGCTGAGAGAGACATTACCTTCATCACGCCGGTGCGTGCCTGCGATTTGCTCCAGAGGGAGCAAAATATATTCCAAGGTTGTCTGAAGAACCCCCTGGAAAGATCAAAGAATGGTGAGCAGAAACATGAGAGGCCTGTACAGTTGTCTCCCAGCAGAGGATTGAAGGAAGAGAGGTAAAGCGAGGCAGGTGTCAGGGATCCCCCCCTTCCGGAGACTTGGGTGAAGGGTCGATGGAGGTGCTGCCCATCAAGGTGGGGGTGGGGAGGAGGAGCGCGTTGGGGGAAGGGCCTGACAGATGGCTGGGAATCACGTGGTAGGGACAGATCCTGGGATGTGAGATTTGTCTCCCTTCTCTCCCCCTCTCCTTGGTTTATCCTCTCGGCCCCCACCCCACCCCACCCCCATCCCCGGCTATCAGCCAGCACCACCATACCCAGAATTCTACCGTCACTGAGGCTGAGTTGATGGTCTTCAATCTCATCACACTGAGCAAACTCCTGGACCATGTGGTCCAGGCAGGAACTGGGGTCACAAGCCAACCTCTCTTGCTGCCACAGAGGCTCCTCAGGGTGCCTCCCAAGACCAGCTGGGTCTCAGTCCCAGCTCGTCAGATGTGCCCCACCTCCTCCAAAACTTGGTCCCCAAGCTAGATTTCAGCAAGGCCTCTCTGTGGCTCTGTGCTTGCCCAGACCACAGGAGGGGGAAGGACCCAGAGTAGCCTGTGGGGCTGGAAATCCAGTGTCAGAGGTCAGGACCTCCCCCCTGACCTAGCCCCAGCCACGCAGTACCACCGGCCGGAAACCCCAGAGTCACCCCATCACCTGCCTTCTTCGCCTTCCTGCCCAGCCACCCCCAGAGACCAGGACTGTGAATCTCGCTCACTGAGGTGTCCCATGCCTGGACTGGTGCCTGGTGCGCAGTAGGAGTTCCATAAAAGTTTGTTGAATTAATAAGCAAATGAAAGAGTAACAGCTGGAGATCCCTACCTCCCAGGCTCCATGTGAGGGGAGCAGGAACTGCTCCATAAGGGGTCCCCCAACTTGGATCCTTAGGCAGGGAGCCCTCCGCCTCCGTCTCTTTCCTTCTCAACACCTAGGTTCTAGGCCATCTTGCACTACTGTGCTGTGTAACCCTGGGCAAGAACTACCTCCCCCGCCCTGTCTGCACCTTGCAGGGTAACAGGGACGACCAGGTGGGATAACCAGTTATCAGTGGCCGCCGCCTTGCCCGACGCCAGGGGGCGCCGTTCCTCACCCCATGCCTCGCTGCGCAGACTCCCTCCCCCAGCTCAAGACCCCGGGCTGGGGAAGAGCCGGCAGCCCCGCCTTTGGACTTGCTGTTTTCCTGGCAGGTGCTCCCCTGCGGGTGCAGAACGGCAACGCGGCCGCGAGGGGGCAGCAGACACCGGGGGCGCGGGCCCGGCGCACCTGCGTGCGCTGCTGAACTTGGTGGAAAGTTTCGGTTGCTATTTTGTCCCCTGTTAATCTGGGAGGCTGGTTTCCCTGTGACAACACCCTTGGGGCATCACGAGGAGCTCGCCCTGTGCACAGGTCCCTTCATGCCTGGGTTGCTGGAGGCGAAACTACGAGAAATAAGCTAGACCAATAGTCTCCTTTCTTCCGTGTTCCGATGTTAGAATCTCACTTTATTTCATATCTTCTTTTTCCCCCCCAGAAGGACACAAAAATTATAAATATGCCTTCATACTTATTGGAATTTGTTTTGTTTTTGTTTGCTTTCTTAACTTTTTTTTTTTTAATGTTTTATTTATTTCTTTTTTTTTTGTTTTTGTTTTATTTATTTCTAGGAGAGAGAGAGAGACAGCGTGAGCAGGGAAGGGTCAGAGAGAGGGAGTCACAGACTGAAACAGGCTCCAGGCTCTGAGCTGGCAGTCAGCACAGAGCCCGACGCGGGGCTCGAACCCACGAACCGCGAGATCATGACCTAGGCGAAAGTCGGACGCTTAACCGACTAAGCCACCCAGGCGCCCCTGTTTTTGTTTGCTTTCTAAAAACGGCTTTATCGAAGCCACTTAAATGCAAAGTAAATAATAATAATAATAATAATAATAATAATAATGAATTCGGGAGGAACCTAATCCCGGTTAAGGGACAAGATTTTGGAGTCCATTTGAGCTGACGTCTGACACTTACTCACAGATCTGTGCTTCGGGGCCCAAGTTCCTTTATCTGTAAAACTGGGATATACTTTGTAGAATCTGGTAGGTGGGATTGTGTGGGAAGGAGTCAATGAAACAGGGTCTGGGAAGTGCTTTGAGCAGTACCTGGCCCCCCTACCAGTGCCAGGGGGCTGGTGGCTAAATGAAGTCAGCATCTGTGGATTGAAAAGTTAACTCAAGAGTTTTTTGAAACAAAGTAAACTACAAGCTAGACAAAATTACTTTAAGACATGCAAATGTGTGAAAAGAAATTATCTCCAGGGTGCACAGATTATATTGATCCACAAGCCAATAAGTGGAAATATTCATTTCGACCAAACCAATTTTAGGTGATTCACGTGGAGGCCAAGGCTTGAAGTTCCAGAAAAACATGGGCAAATATACCTTAAAATGGATTCAAATTGATATCTTAAAATTAATTTAAAAACTTTTAACATAAAAGTGAATAAAAATGCCATAAAAGTGTTTTTATTGTTTTTTCTTTTTTGAGAGAGAGAGGATGCAAGTCCCTCTAGG